AAATGGTTCTAAAATGGATGAAAGCAGGAGCAATAGGATTGCAAAACACTAGTGAAAAGTTCCTGTTGCTTTATAGGTTACCTGGACACTGTGTGCTTTTCAGAAGGCCAAGAAACATTAAAGCCATTTTTTTGTTTGCCCTCCCCCTCTCCACAGTCCAAGTCAGCATTTCTGTTCTTCCTGAGGCCACTATGGCTCAGGAGGCACTCCCAGAGCAAGTCTGTGTGTCCTGCTAAAACCAGATAATGCCTTGGCTACCTCAGGCTAAGAAAATGGAAACTCTGTGATCAAAAGGGACTAGTTAAGGGTTTCCACTTTCATTTATTCAAATTAAGAGAATCTTGAAGAATCCTGATTTTCTGCAGTTTCACTTATTTGAAATTGCATAGGTAACCAGTAATAAAATCCAAGTCCTTGCTTTTACCATTTAGATATATTCTCTTTGCATGCAGTTTCCTTTTTTTTTTTTCTGATCAAGAAAGCATCCCATATGTAAGAGAAAGATTAAAAGAGATCTGAGTTCTGCCAGAAATCCAAGGCACAGGTAGAGTGACAGTTCTCATCCCAGCTGATGAGCAGTGAAAGTACAAAGACAGAAGCTGGTTCAGAGGTTTTGATCAGTGTTTCAGATCAGGGTTTCAGATCCCTTCAGTTTGCAGCAGGAGAGCAGTGGTGTGAAAGACTCTAAAACCATGTGGAAGTCACTTTGCTTTCAGATACCACTATTGAGTAATTTGGATCAAGATCTTGGTTCTTTTTTACCAAATCGCACAGAAATATGACTGCAGCTTGTGGAGATGTAGTAATTCTAGCTGTGATTGAAGTTTTGCTATGATTTCATTTTGGCTGAATCTTAAAAAAAGAAAATAATGTACAGATGTTCTACCAAGAATGAAAATCAAATGAAGTTTTCGCTTTGCTAGGTACATCCTGCAGCCACACCTGGTTGATGTTCGCAGGGTAATAGCTGTCACAGGCCACTCAGTCACTGATTTGAGTAAAAGAAGACAAAGTGACTGGATTCTGACATTTAGTATCACTGGAAGGCATGTGACCTGCCCAGCTATCAGAGGAATCTGTAACCCCTTCCTTCTCCCTGTGCCACAGGAACTCAATGTTTCAGTTGTCCCTCATGGAAACAATTGGCCAAATTCATTGCTGCCTGAAGAAGTGCAGACTCATTTTGGCACACGTGCACGAAAGATGAATATGGATTAGTGACCTCTGGTTGCTGTGGAGAGCTGTGAAAGGAAGGATTGATTATCTGTTGCATGAGCAGCAGAGACTGCAGGTCAGGCTGTAGCCAAGTGGTATCATTTAGCCCTTGGGGAAAAAAAAAAACAGAACAAAAAAAAGCCAGAGAGGTGCAGGTTTTTTGCATCTCTTTAAATAAGCATTAGCCAAAGAGTGCATCTGAAAATACAAGACACAGATTGTCATACAGGCTGAAGCTGTTCCACACTATCATGTTGATATGCTATGCTTTTGATATATGGTACTTATTTCCACAACAGAAGTGTGATCATAGCTTGATTCAGAAGGCAATCAGCCCAGCAGTTTGTCATTGTGTCTTTAGGACTCTTTGCCAGCAGCAAACCAGCTGTCAAAGAGAAGTTGTGTGACTCCTAAATAAAACATTTTACAACTGAGAAGTTCAAAGCCACTTTTTCGAATAATTTCATGCAGGGTTCTGTTCCCCACCATCTCCTCCCTGAGCAAATATGGTTTCAGCATCAGCACTAACTGTGTTACTAATGCATGCCCTAGTTAGCTGGGATGTAAAAGGAGAGATTTATTGTTTAAAAATATCCTTTATCCCCACTTTTTGTTTCATAAAATCCTCTATGTACTTGCTACTGGCAGATTTTGTGTTTAAAGTGAGTAGCTAATACTTGATTTGAAAAGAAAGGATGAAAAAAACAGCCTTTAAACTTCAGCAGAGGAGCTGTGCAGGTAGGAGAGTGCTGGACACATTCTCAGCCAAGCATCCCTCCATGGGATGTAATTTAGCTGCTCATCAGTCTCCATGCAGATTTGCTATGGCAGTGCACTATTGGGCACACTTTGCAGTGCATCTGACTGACTCCTTATTTTTATATAAACTTCTGATTTAAATTCCAAACAAGCCTGCAAATAGCAAATGATAACTGGTGTTTTACTGATTATTCACTTTATTGACCTTTTGGGTCAACTATCTAAAAATCCAAAGGAATGAGTGTTTGTTTCCTGTACCGAAAACACTACATTTTATAGTCAAAAGGATTATTTGTTTTAATTAACAACAAAAAAAGTTAGTGTCTTCAGCACGCAGTAACTCATTAACTGCTCAAGCCTCCTTTGCAAGTTTGGATACAATGGGATATTTCATGTGGTTGATCTGCGTGGTGATAACAGGGGTTTGCATTAGATCAAAAGAAAGATACAGCCCCGCATTGTCAGAGCTCTCCACAGCTTCCAGCAAATGCTCATGGGGAAGGCAACGCTTGGCTGCCCTCCAAAGGCTTAATTCTAACAATCAGCTCAGAACCAGCCTGCAACCTACCACTTTTCCCATTGATACCTCCATTCGTACAGACCTACCTTTGACCTCTCCCGGCTTGTTTTGTTGCAGTAAACACCTGACATTTGCTCAGCTAACACAATAGCCCTGTACTTTTGGGCAAAAAACGCCTGTGGTTAACGTCTGTGGGCTGCATTCTGCAGGGAAATGAAGGGTGGTAGAAGTTAAACAATGGGTGTGACTACCACAGGATGAGTGTTAGTGGGAAAGTGGTGTAACATCCACCTAGCATTCCAGAGATGTGAAATATAATTATGATTTAAATGCCAAAGATGTAAGTTGCAAGATGAGTAACTACAAGGACACGAAAGCTTCCCTTATCTTCTCTGTCCCACTCAGAATCATTTCACACACCCACAAAACTAATTCAGCTAGTGTCACTTGACAAAATTACACCTGATACATGACTTGTACCATCACTTACATTTCTGTCAGTGTGGGCTCTGTACCAACAAAAAAATTCCAATCTCATTTACAACATTTTAAATTGGAAGTAATTTTGCTCTTGGTGAAATTATTCCTGATTTACACTCCCACTCAGATCAGAATCTGATTCAGACTCTGACTTTTTTCCTATTTGCTTTCATCCTTTTCTGTGATAGAGAGGGGTGGTCCTGTGTCTGTGAAGACTCCTCACACCTTCATTTCCATATCTTTGCAGAAATGGTTTATGAGCAGGTCTGTAATGCTGACTAAATGAGCCTCAGGAGCAGCTGGTTTCTGAGTATATATGAAAAGCTGCTTAATGTCTTTTACATCATCTAGCATAGGTGGGAAGGACAGCAATCCTTACCTAGATGAGGGGCTACACAGTTGTGTATCAATTCCAAAACAGAGAAACTGAAGAAAATTAAACTCTAGGTGGGGGAGCAGAAGCAACTAGTGGGGGAAAAAAAATAATTAGTTCTAAAGTTTTAAGCAAAATCTTTATAAACAGATTTATGGTTAAAATCCAAAAGTGACAGGTGTTATTACAGCTCTCAGGGAATGACATGCACTGTCCCTGGTTGTGGCCTTGGAAGTTGTCCAATGCCTAGATCACAATTTAAACCTGTATTTTAAACACTCTTTTTTTTTTTTTTTTTTTTTTTTTTTTTTTTTTTTTTTTGCCTAACTTTATTCCTCTTATTTTCTTTATGGATTAAAACTGAAGCTGGAAGTTTCTAAAGCAGTACCACCTTCCATTACCTGTTAGTAGGGAACAGAGAGTATTACCAGCTCCACCAGAGGTGACACCTTCAAATAAAAGCAGAGGGGTGAGGCCAGGAGGGGCTTTAGGTGAGGACATGATTTGAGACTCAGATTGTGGCAGGTCAGCCCTTGTAATTGAACTGTTTATTTTCTGTACAAAGTATGTACTTGACAGAGAGAAGCAATGACTTTTCAGATACAGGTACCTGTGTAGCTTGGTGTATGACTAATTTTATTGCCTGAAATGGAGCAGTAGAATGTATAAAGTGAAGCATTTATTCTAAAGTGTTTGTCAAGCTGGGACTACTTAGCTATTTTATTGTGGATATTTTTTTTCCTAGAAACACCACATACATTTACTGGAAATACTTGGTGCTGGATACGAATAATCACTTTAATATCTGGGAGGAAAATAGACTATTCATTAAACATTTAAAAAAAAACAAACAGAAAAATAAAAATGTTCTTTCTTAAGAATCAGAGCAAAACAGTTTTATGTCTGTACTTCTTAAGATTTACATAGAATAAGAACAGGATTTAATTCTTGATTTCTGACAAAGATTCTTACCACACCTGGAGGCTGAGTCAGTGGGCTCAGCAGGTACAGAGCTCTCTGAAAATCAAGACATTCAGGACTTCCCTAAACCACTCTTAATTTGCCTGTCCTGCAGTCCTCAGATAAAATGGCTTTCTTCACCTGTTCATCACATCCAACTCCAGCTGAATCATCACTACATACTGTAGTGGTATCACAAATAAGCTTCTCAGCCTCTGAAACCTACAGAGGTTTTCAGCAAGACTGCAGAGGTTTTATCATGTGTTTTATTCACAGATTTCAAGATGCTTTGCAACGACAGGCTCAGCATTGGTACAACACCTTCACAGGAAGAGGGATGCTCAGAGTTTCGGTGACTTGCCCAATGCCTGTTGCAAAACAGAAGTGAAACCCAACCTGGGCATTCTTTTACCAGGCTTGTGATTCAGCAAAGCACTAAAGCAAGAGCTCAAGCTGTGTGAAGTGAGACAGATTTAAGTACCAGTTTAGTTACTTGGCTGGACTGAATCTTTAGCTTTCACAGCCAATTATTGTTCACATCTATTTCAGTTCTTTCCATACAGCTCAGCATATCTTTAGATGGTGGCAATATTTTAAAACTAATTCAACTGTGTGGCAAACTGTACTGCTTGCTGACCTTTTGGCAATTCAAATGCTCATATGTATGTTTGGGGTTCTGTGCTGTTTCTTTAGATGACACCAGTTACTCGACAAGAAGTTCTTGGTCTTTACCGCAAGATATTCCGAATAGCCAAGAAATGGCAGTCAGTGTCAGGCCAGATAGAAGAGACCATGAAAGAGAGAGAGTACATTGAAAATGAAGCCAGAACCTTGTTCCGAAAAAACAAAAATGTGAGTGTCCTTACAGTTTTGAATTTCTGAATTATTCTCCTTTCATTCTTTGTACTGTCTCAGCAACTGGATGCTAAGTTACGAACATAAGAGTTGATTTCCCAAAATTTCATTTGCCTTAAATGCTGGTGCATTCAGGTTATATTTTAAATTTCACCCCTGAATTAGTAATAAGAAAACTCAAATCATAAAAATTACATTCCAACGATACTGCCTACGTAATTGAAGCAGTTTTGATCATTTAGAAAGCTAGCTAAGTGGATTATTACCCATACAATGGCAAACAGAGCTCAGTATATTCTTAGTCTTCTTTTTTTTTTCTTTTCAAAGCAACAACCATTGGCACTTCTTTTAAAAGCAGCACCTTTTTTTTTTCCTTAAGGAAAAATTCCATAACCTCTTTTGAAAGGAGCTGTACAGACTCCATGGTAATCAAAGGTCCTTCTTGTAATTCAAGATCACAATTCTTATTTATATCCCATTTTGGTCTGGGACTAAATCCAGGTAATGGAATACCAAAAAATTAATTTAAGTCACAATTTACAGAACATTTCTGACTTCAAAAGGAGTTTCTGGACAGGATAACAGAATGCAGAGCAAGGAGTCTCTTCCCTTTCTCCTCTAGCTACCTTGCAGACTAATGAATGCCTGAGCATATTTTTTCATGGATATATTTGCAGTTTACATATGTTTTGGCTTCTTAAAGAAAAAATACCATATTTGGGTAGAAAATTCCTTCTGTAGCCTCAATCATTACAACCTCTGGCCTTAACATCAGTGCTATCAAGCCCAGAAGTGTTGAGTCATGGCAAATACTAACCTTACCTTATATGGATGTGAAAAATACTATCATTGTATCCTTGGGATTGCAAAAAAAATCCCAAATCTAAAAAAAATCATATTTTTTTCAAATGATGCTGTGCATCATTTACACTTGAGCTTCCAATGGCTAAATTCTGTACTTGTATCAAACGTCTGTAGGTGACGGATCCAAAGTTGATTAAGCAGTGTATAGAAGAATGTGAGGCAAGAATAGAAATTGGACTTCACTATAACATCCCCTACCCAAGACCTGTGAGTATAAATCTAGTCATAAAGTCTTCAACTACTCCCACTTAGCTCTCACTGGCCACTAAAACCATAAGTTCACATCATTGTCACCACACTGCATTTTTAGATAAGCCAGTGTTTAAATGCTATGCTAAACTGGAGCAAGTAAGTCAAATGTATAATGAAATGTTCTCCATCTCTCTTATTTCCCTGTAAAATGTCTAATTTCTTCTCCGTATGAGGAGTAAAAGCCTAAATGGACTTGCATGAGCTGAGGTCAGAAGGCTTGTGAATATTTAGGCAGTCTTGAGTGACCAATTAATCATACTATGTGGAAAAATATAGTAATGGGATCAAATCTGTTTATCTTTCTACATAATAAAAGAGACAATAATATACATAAGAGAGAATAAAAGTACTTAATTATATCTGTCAGAGATACAAAAATTTTCATAGCCTGCGTTGCTGGTAACTGTTCTCCCAGTCATAACTCAGGTCTTAGAAAACACTGCTGCTTCTTTTCCCCTGTTCCTAGAGAAAAACATGTCCAATATTACTGAAATGGAGGAATTTGCAGCAGTGTCTTCTATTGCACCATTCAATATAGTTTTCTCACTGCCCAGTTGCTTCTATCTGTAGCACTTTATGCTGCCTCCCATAGAGACTTCCTCTCTGCTCCTTATCAAGGCAGTCTTGGTCAAAATTAAATTGCATCTTCATCAGATGCTTGCCCAGCATATGATCACTGTTAGCATCTGTCTCACTCACAGCTTCTTTTTCTGCAGTATACAGAACAACAGTGTTCATCTGGCGAACAGTGCTCCTAGAAATGGGCTTAAAATTATTGAGGCAGTGGTTTCAAAACCCCAAAGGATCAGCTGTAGAGCAGATCTCTCACACATTATTTTTCAGATTCTAGAAATCTGTATTGCTGCTTCATTCTTTGCTTTTACTACTATTTGCACCTAAACAGCCATCTTACAGGATGGCAGTCTCAGCAACAGGAACATCTGACTGCTAACACCTACATTTTTCAGTCACTTAGGGAGGATATAGCTGCATGACTCCCACTAACAGTCTTAAGAAATATAAAGATTTTGTCAATCAATGGAGGAGCCTGTCAGCTATTTCTCCTTTTGTTTGTGGAGTCAATTACATTGATTGTGCATTTTAATATGGTGTATATGATCATGACAATAAGAAGGCTTTTTTAGGGTTTCCTAGGTTTTACTGTTATGGAACATTGTCAGCAGTCCCATTTCAATAAGTATTTTATCATTACAGTATATCAAATTACAAAACAAGGTTACTAAATCCTAAAATACATAGGATTTTAATAAACACAATGTTTAGGGTCTGAAAGTTACACTCCTCAGAGGGTGCTCCTCCTAGAAATCCAATAACCTCATTTGCAGCAATACAGTTGCCCTCTCCAAAGTGTGAAGAAATTATCTACAACTCAGCAAAACCTGGTCTGTCTATTTGTCTATTCTGTATATATGTTTTCCTTATCTTGTAGCATCTCAATTTGCACCTAACTGGTGGGATTTTCTTTTCCAGATCCATCTGCCTCCTATGGGTCTTGCCCATAAACAAGGGCGTACGTTGCGACATCAAGAAAAGTTAAGGAAGATTTCTAAGCCAATATACCTGAAATCCCATGATGAAGTTTCATAACCCACCATTTAAGCTGTGATGTATAATCATATCACTTAAGCTGTGGACTGTCACACAGGTGATTTGTGTGCACAACTGTGAATTAACCTGTTTGGGTCACTTGCTCACATATTTCCTGAGGCCAAAATACATGGCAGATGATGGGTAAGTTTGGTCCACTATTTATTACATTTGAACCACTGACTCATCAATAAAAGGAGCACTTTTCAAGGACTGAGGTGTGAGTCAAAGATTACTTTGACATCAGAACAAATTCCAGCAAGTTTTCAAATTCTGTTGATCTATAGCAGGGTTCTCTGGTTCGAGGATTATTGATGCTCAATTGTGATTCAAGGCAGAACCTCCTGTAAGGGTCAGCAAAAATCAAGACAGTCCAGGAGAATCAAGGAGACATGGTGCCTCCAGAGTTTCCGAATGCAAGTGGGAATACAGTGACTATCATGGAGCTGCACTCCATCCTCTCTTGTCCCTGCTCTGCCTGTTATCCCCAGAGAAACTTAGTTTCATAGTATCCTTATGGTGAAGAATTGTTTCTAACCAGACAGTAGCAAAGAGACAGCAGAAATGTCACCACTCCTCATTTTGCTTTTTACAAACTGCAGAGGAGTTCCCTAGAGCCACCTTTTTTTCCTCTTCCTTTGGAGAGGCTGTGGGGGTGAAATGCAAAGTTTGGAATTCCATTATGCAACTCAAAATGAAACAGACCATTGTTGGCTTCCTCAGGTTCTCATGTATGGACTGACTGAAAACACTCCCTTCAGGGTGTCATTATGGGAGCAATCTTAAGATGCTTTGGGTGTCTTCACTGTGCTTTTTACATGGCTAGCTTTTCAACAAATCAGCATGCTAGCTTTCTCAAGAAATATTTTAGTGTTAGGTTTTAACTCTTGTTATGGACAGAACCTCAAGTTTATTGAAAGATCAGAAAGTATCTGCAACTATCTCTTCAGTCTCTTAAGTTCAAGAGATATTTCTGTTTTGCAGGTGCCTCACAAATGGAAGTGAAATGAAATTAATTTCCCCCTCACTGGCCACCAATTGTTTTGGTTCCTTTTGAGTCCTCTGGCTTTTCTGGGCTGTTTACAAAATGTCTTCACAAAAGTTAGTGGAGCTTTCTGTCCTTCAGGCTACAAGTACGAATGAGACCAGGCTGTGGACAGGAGCCAAACTGTTCTGGGAGACTACAAAAGCACAGCTCACAGCTGCCTAAAGGAACATGTGGCCTATTCCTGCCAGAGCCTACTGGTAGCAAAAATGCAAATTTGAAAAAATGTAGTGTATGTTATTTCCTATTAAAGGGTAAAACCAATTTTCTCATTTTTTCTCATTTTCTGAGCTCTCCAACTCATCCCTCCACACCCTAGTCACAATGGCAAAGAAATATTCAAGTCTACCAAGAAGAAGTTAGAACTGCTCATGTGCAGAGCAGAACAACAGATTCTGCCCCAAGAATGTGCTTGTAAGAGTGAAAAAAAATACAAGGAAACAATGAAATGAGTGAGTCAGCATGACAGGTACTGGCTAGCCCAATTTCTCACTACTCTTCATGGCTCCAGTCCACAAAAGTTTCTATTCCCATATAATTATTTCCTGGGAATGCCTCCTGTGGGAAGTAACATGTAAAATGTCATTGTTCTGCCTGTCAGTGAGAGCTTTGCAAATTTACTGCTGCCAGGAAGACACAAAACTCTGTTAGCCCAGGAAAAGTGGGATGGAATGAAGACAATAAAAAATAAGAAGATTGTAGACACTGCTTAATTCTTCACTGAAACAAGTACAAATACAGTCTTTTCCTTTCCTCATTCTGATACACCACTGTAGGGATGTGTCAACTGAGCCAAACCAAAATGTGAAGAGACAAGGGTTTTGAATGGAATCTTGGGCTCATTCTTAGTCATTAAACTATCATTTTAATCTTTTTTAATTGTTAAAATTCATGTGGCTAATGAAGGTACTGATGCTGTGACTCATGGAGTGAATAAACAGTTGTGTAAATGAGCAGTCTAAATTCATTGCCTGTGTTACTGTCACAACTCTTTCTGAGCACATACTGTAAGATGTAGATTATTTCAAAGGAACATTCCTAAACATTCCAGAAGATACACACCAAATTGAAATAACAATATTAGTTTATTTCTGAAGGGAAATACAAATAGGCAATTTTTTAAAAGTCTCAAGCAGCCTTAAGTAACTCAAATTTGAGTACCCAAGCACACAATCATTTAAGAAGATGGACTCAGCACCTGCTTACTGAATGTACCCCCTCAGGGCTGTCTGGGGGTGAGGAAACACACATTAAGATGCAGCAGTGACCCAATCTTTTCCAAGAGAAGTATCACAGAACAGAAAGAGTTTAAGATGGATTAGGTTATCTTCCTACTAATACAAGTAGAATACTCCCTTTACCTCTGGAGAAAATAAGGCAACCTGGACCTCACTCTCTTGGAGCCCTAGTTTGTGTCCATCAGAAATGACACAGTAACATCCACCTTTTACCCATGGACAGAAAGGCCACTTATTTGCTAAGACCTATAAATTAGTTTTCAAGAATGCTAAATACAGAAGAAACCTGCACTTTTCACTACTTTTTCTAATCCTATTAGGCAAAACATTCTAGCTTGTACGAACTCATAAGTAGAAGAGTTCAGGGCCCTTGTATTATCCTTTGCTTTTTCATTGTACAATTTTTCCTTTAACACCCCAACACTGTTAAAATCAACAGAGATAAGACATTCTGCTTCTTAAATGTTTGGGTTTTTTGTACAGATAAGAGAAATGTTTCCATCTCCTAAGGAAATGTACTTACCATATCTGTCTTACAGCATTCCCAGCTGAAAACCTGTCTGCTATTTCTAAGGAAAAAATACCATAATGTCTATATACTGCATTTTTTCCATCTGCTTTGAGTTATTAGCAAGGCTGTGAATCTATGATTTGCAGTAACTATAGGTGTTTTTTGTTATTTGTTTAATGAGAGCTTCTAATCAAGAAAGTCTGCTGAAAAGACTGGGCCCAGCTAAAAACTAAGTGGCCTTTTTATTATTTTTTAATGCATCGCAGCCAAGAAAGCTTGTGAATATTAATGTTTAGCCAGCTTATCATTCTTCAGGAAGGTCTAGACAATGCTCAGGAAATAAGATTGGGAAGCTCATTTCAAAGAACCACAGAAAAATAAACCTAAGACAGATATCCCTCAACAATAAATTACATTACTTTTCCTCTAATAGTAAGAGCAGCCCAGGAAACCACCTACTCCAGTGATCCTCAGCTACAGCAATCAGCCACACCTGATCTCTGGGGAACTCATAAGGCACTCAGTTTGGCAGATGAAGATCCTGTACTAATTATAATTACCTATGTGTATCTTTGTGCTGAGCAGCATTGAACAACATACCTGGAACATATCTTGCTTACCTGCGTTACCATTCCTAAAAGTTGCTACTTTACAAATATCTATATAAAAAACCTAGTGGCTAATAAAACAATAATAAGCATTGTTTTCATCTACAACAGCTAAGCACAGCACAACACAACAGATACATTCCTATGTCAAGAACCATATGGTTTAATGAACTGTAGTGTCATCATTGAATGATTGCAGCAGGATACTGGGATTTGCTGAGTTACAGCTGCATCTCTGACTTTGTGAGGCCTCAAGCAAGTCATTAAAATGCTGCAATTTGGGCAAAGAAAAAAAATACAAGACCCCAAATTATTGATGTTCATGCAGTGAGGATTTTTTACAATGCTAGCCTTGATCTTTGTGCTTGTCTTGTACTGTGTACACAACATGTCTCATGATCCATCTTTAGAACTTTCTTGGCATGCTGTGGGGTTTGGTTAATAACTGTGCAGCTCTTTGAAGATGTCCAGGCTATTCTATTTTTAATTAATGTTTGCAAGCTGCTTTGAGCTTCTCTGATGACAGGGCTTAAACATGTACAAAATTCAGGTGGTTATTAGTCCAACACGCAAGAGGGCAAGAGAAGGAAGTAAAATGGGAGAAAGGAAACAGACCCATTTATCAGGCACCTGGGATATGCAGGTAAATAATACTGAAAATTTTTTAAGTTTAAAAAGTATGAGACAAGCACATTGCTCTGAGAAACATCAGGCTCCCAATGCATGTGCTGTCTAGAAGTTTTACACTGAAATTCTGAGGCACATCTTCAAGGAGATGCCAGTTACTGTCATTTTACAATACAGCTCTGGCAGTTCATTCTAGCTGAGGATTGGTTTTACATGTTGAGAACAGTCTAATCTCATGTCCTCCCTCCTTGTCTTACATGCTCCTGGGACACAGAAGTGGTAGGCAAATCCACAGAGTCCTATTTGCAGGACTTGTGATTCCCTTCAGAATCAGCAGCAAAACTCTTTGGGCCCAATTTAACTTAAAAAATCCAACCAACAACCAACCCTATGACAACAGCTAGGTAGTAGTCCTAGGACTTCAGAAGATTTGTCACGATGTGGGTGAAACAGTTTGAAGGGAGTTCTGTTCATTCCACTCTATTGCAAGTCAAAGCCCAGACCTTTGAAATAAGTGTCTGCTTGTGGTGTTCTATTTTCACTCACTCTTGCTCAGTGGCTGATAATGTCTAAAAACCAAAGGAAATTGGGACCTGGCTTGAAGTCAGCAAAAAATCCCAGTAAAATAAAATTAAAAAAAAAAAATTAAAAATGCAGCCATTGGGGAGCAAAATATATATTTTAATAACAAAATGTGAATGTTTTAGCTTGCATGTTCTTCAGTCATCTAACTGGCATAGTGCTGCCACCCCTCGATTTATCCAGTGTTTCTGGGGCTTGTCTGAAGGGAGTTCAATTGAGAGAACATAGTTGGTTGAGTGGCCAGTGGTAGATAAGACACCTCTTCTTTCACTTGTCTTGTACACAGGGCACGAATAGATGTTTAGATGAAGAAATTTGGAACTTTCTCCAGGTTTCAGCCAAATTATGGGCAAAGAATCATAAAGGATTTTTGGAAGTGATTCTGTGATTACCAGGGATTCTCTACCCCATCGTGCACCTTCCAAAAAAAGGCCTCTCACATAAGCCCCATCTTCTGCCATTTTCTCCATCGTCTGCTCCTGTTTCATCACCTAGAATGATTAAACCATTGCTTGATTTAATTATTATCTGGAGTATATTAAATCCTATAAGTGATAGTCTGAAAATACTCCTTTAAATAAAATTTCTTTTCATTTGAAAAC